ACTTAATTTTTACATATAACTGGAATCATATAGTATATATTCTTTTGTGTCTGGCTTATTTCACTTAGCAAAAAATGTCTTCAAAATGGTCAGAGGAACTAAATAGCGATTTTCCCAAAGAAGATATACAGACAGCCACCAGACATATGAAAAGTGATGTAAAGCTCAACACCACTAATCATCAGGGAAACAAATAAAAAATAGTGAGATATCACCTCACATTGCTTAGAATGACTATTACCAAAAAGGCATGAAATAACAAGTGCTGGCAAGAATGGGGAGGAAAGAACCCTTGTACACTGTTAGTGAAAATGTAAACTGGTGCAGCCACTACAGAAAACAGTATAGAGGTTCTCAAAAAATTAAAAATAGAAATATCATATGACCCAGTAATTCCCCTTCTACCCAAAGAAAACAAGAACACTAATTCAAAAGATATATGCACCCCTATGTTCGCTGCAGCATTATTTTCAATAGGCAAGATATGAAAGCAGCCTAAGTGTCCATAGATAGATGAATGGATAAAGAAGATGTGGTATATATACACACTGGAATATTATTCAGTCATAAAAGAGAATGAAATCTTGCCTTTTGCTGCAACATGGATGGATAAAGGTTTTATGTTAAATGAAATAAGCCAGACAGAGAAAGGCAAATACTATATGGTTTCACTTAATGTGGAATCTAAAAGAATAAAATAAATTAATAAACAAAACAGAAATTCATAAATACAGAGAACAATCTTGTGTTTGTCATAAGGGAGGGGAGTGGGAGAGGCAAAATAGATGAAGGGGATAAAGAGGTACAGACTTAAAATTATGAAATAAATAAGTCATGGGAATGAAAAGTACAGCACAGGGAATATGGTCAATAAAACTGCAATCACTTTGGTGACAGATGGTAACTACACTTATATAAGCATTTCATCATGTATATAATTGTCGAATCACTGTTGTACACTTTTAATATAATATTGTATGTCAACTATTTAATAAAAAAATTTAATGAAAAGTTAGAAAGGAATTAAACTAATAACAAAACAAACAAAGTGCATCTCCCTACAGGTGCTATGCCATTGGTCCTAAGTCTTAGAAAAGTTCTTAACTTTTTCAGTAATTTGAAGTCAAAATGAATTAAACTCCTCCCCTCTGTGGTTGATCTGCCTTCAATATTTAAAGAGAACAAACATATTCTCCAGCTTTTCTCTTTGATGTTCACTCTCTGTTAAAGGTTATAAAAATATTCAAGTGAAATATGTGAAATACTGCTATTGATGTTAAGAAAAATCCATTATACAGAGCATAATAAAAATTTTTTAAGAGAAAGCATATCTGGTATCATGACAAATTTGACCAATCTAGTATTATGAGATGAATACTGAATGTTAGAATATCAAAATAGATAAGATCCTTATTTTGAATATTTATAAACCCAACTTTACAAACTTAGCCTGATACTCATCATATCTTCTTTGCATCAGTTCAGGTCAGCTCATTTTCTCAGCCCTCTTATCTGTTCCTTTACCGGGTTTTCCAGTTACTTCATCAGAGTGGGCCTGCCACACCGAGGCTAGAATCATATAAAAGTCTTGAGACCAAAAAAAAAAAAAAAAAGTCCTGAGACCAAGATGCTACCTTAGCACCCAAAGGACATTTCTTTTATTTGTGCCTCCCATCTTCCTCCAGTTTACTCTTTCACTCACGCAGTTAAAAATCATTACAAACCCATCATGTTGTACCCCTCGTGCTTAAACACTGGAGAAACAATGGTAAAGAAGATAAAACCTGTCCAAGACTTTAGAGGGCAGTCTGCTAGGAGAGACATTCACTGAACAAATAATCTTACAAAACCTTTATAATTACCAATTATTAAGAGTGCTATGAAAGAAAAGTATGACTCCATGAATGTATAACAGGGAACTGCCTGTTCTGGAAGCTCAGAAAAAGCTTCCATAAGAAAGTGAAATTTTACTCGAGACCTGAAGAATGGTAATAAGGGAAGTTTCTGGCAGTTGAAACAGTACTTTTTCAGTTCCAGACATGTTTGCACATTTCCTAGACTTTTTTTTCTACCTTTGCTGCCTCCTGGCAATTTCCTCCTATATTTTAGCTACCCACCCTTTCCCTTCCTATCCCCCACAATAACAGCTAACATTTATTGAGCTCATACCACTTAGAAGCTATCAATCCAAGCAATTAGATGAACTCATATAATCAACAGTGAGCATATCAGGTGGTTATATTTCCTCATTTTACAGATGAGGAATCTGAGGCATAGCCACAATATTTACTTGTCCAAAATTACAGCTACTGATACTAGTCCTTGCATGTCTATCATCTCGCTTTTAACTTACCACTCTTACAGAAACCCCAAGGCACCAAGCTAAACTGGCACTACCACTGGACAAATACTAAGTCTCCTATATCCATTAAACTTCTACCATGGTCAACTAGGCAGAATCATTACTTTCTCCAATTTTCAGAAACTAGGAATGAAAAAATTACCAAGGTAGCAGACCAAACTAAAACATCTCCAGGAGCAAAAAAAAATTTTTTAGAGTAAGTAATACATTCTTACAAAAAGTTATACATCTAGAAAATGAAATAATGAAAACTGGGCAAGGAGAAAAAATATATATAATTTATTTAAATCCTTCTGTATCTCCCAAGGAAGAAGAAAATAAGAAGGGTCTTTTTTTTTTATTTTAATTCAAATTGTAAATACCTGGTACACATTTGCAAAATCAAATTAATATGTAGTAAATTGGGTATGATGAAGAAGAAATTCCCAAAATCAATCACTTTCTTTGTGTAATATTTCTTTAAATATTAAAGAAAAAGAAATTACTAATAAATGAACAAGAAATCACTCAAAACTACATTTATATATATTTTTAAATTCCTGCTATGATCAGAAAATTTCATTTGTAGATTCACCATTGAAGTAATGTGAAATTCAGTTAAGTGGGTGATTGATGTAAGTGAGTGTATGACTCATAGTTTGCAAACGAAAATTATTTTGGAGAAAAGGCTCAGGAAGAAAAGAAGCAAATAAAGGATTCTGGAAGAAATGAAGACCTTTCCTGTTTAAGGACTATCACCAGTTCTTTATTACTGAAAAATTAAGGAAATCGTGAATAAAGCTATCTGCCAGACAGCAGAAAAGGTAAGAAATAACATTCACTGTCTTCAGAAAAAACATTCATAAAATTAAACTTTCTATTAAAAGTTACTAGAAAACACAATTCAAATCAGGACAATGAAAATGTCAAAAAAAACCAACATCACATGTGTTAGGAATTTGAAGAGAATGAAATGGTAGGGTAAGTCAACCTGTAGAACCATTTTATTTTATTCCACTTGGTTTTAGAAAAACGCAAATCCAAAACTGATTTACTAGGACACTTAGTGGGCTTTGTTTCTGTTTGGTTCTTTTTCTACTTCACGGTACTGCAAAATAAATATTTGGTTTTTACTACTAGGATTCAGCAATTATACAATGAGGTTTGGTTTCTCGTTCCAAAGGTCAAATACAAGCTGTTGAATTCAGTTCTACTTTTTTACTATCAGTCCCTCCTCTCCCCTCCCTTCTCATATGTAACTCAAATATATCATAAATACTTACATATTTTTATGCGATTTTTTAATTTACATTTTCATGTGTATTTTGGTGTCCCCACAATGTGATGACATTGAGCTAGATGCTTTTATATATAATCTCATTTAAGAATTCTACTTGAAGAGATCTCAAAAAAAAAGAGCTATGTGTGTATATACATGCACAACATGCATGTTAGGCAAGAGATTCAAAACTACACAGTCTAATTAAAGAACCTTTGCTCTTAAGTACTAAGCCACTATATACTGGAAAAAGATGTGACTTTTAATATGAAAATAACTGAGTTAAGTAATAATATTAGCTTCTGGAATAAGAGGTCATATTTCTGGAGTCAGTATTCTAAGAAGTATTAGCATATAGTAATAAACAGACACTTGAAGAAAATTTACTATGTTAATTTCTTCCCTTTTGTAAATATGCTTCATTTTCAGAAAGTTTTTATCTTTTTCTTTTTGAATATTGTACACATTTTTACGATCTCTTTATAGATTTTGAAGCATTTTCATATCTAAGACCTTATATAATCCTGCAGGCAACACTCTAAATAAGGCAAGTTTGATGGTTAATTTGATATGTCAACTTGGCTGGTCCACAATGCCCAGATATTTGGTCAAACATTATTCTGGATTATTTCTGTGAAGGTTTTTTGAATGAGATTAATATTCAAATTTTGGGACTATATAAAGTGGTCTTACCCTCCACAATGTGTGTGGGCTCCACCCAATTGATGGAAAGTTTTAATAGAACAAAGACTGACCTCTCTGGAGTAAGAAGGAATTCTGCCAATAGACTGCCTCTGAACTCAAACTGCAACTGTTACCAGGTCTCCACCCTGCCAGCCTACTGTGAAGATTTGACCTACCAACCAACTATAATCATGTGAATCAATTCCTTAGAATCAGCCTGTCTCTCCCTCCCTCACAAAAAGTAGAAATATAAATGACTTCTAATTGATAAATGGATAAAAAAAAGTGCCATATCAATACAATGGAATGATTCAGGAATAAAAACATATAATGCTACACCCAGATGAATCTCAAAACATGTTAAGTAAAAGAAGGCAGACACAAAATGCTATATATTGTATGAATGTATTTATATGAAATGTCCAGATTAAGTGAACCCATACAGACAAAAAATTAATTAGTGGTTATCTGGGAGAAGGGGTGTGAGGAAGGTGTCAACGGGTAGTGAATGCTAATGGATATAGGGTTTCCCAAAAGGATAATAAAAATGTTCCTGTGTTAGACAGTGGTGATGATCTGAACAACCTTGGAGATACACTAAAAACACTGAATTGGACATTTTAAAATTGTGAATAGTAAAATAAGTAAATACCTCAATTTAAAAAATGTTTAAAAATAAAAAACTAATCAACTTACCTGCCCTTTTTGTGGTGCCAAACAACGAACAACTTCATCCACCATTACTGGAATATGTAATTTATTCATAGCTTCATAATCTCTATCAAGAGATCTGTTTAACTCCTGTGCTCCAGTTTGATCTGTTTGCTCCTGGGCTTCATATTCATTGTATGTTTCTGCTGTAACATGTATTTTTTTTGGCCTGACACCTAAACTACACATGCCAGTTTCCAACCAGCATGAAAGAAATGTTTTACAGACTCTACAAAAATATGGGTATCGAAGCATTCTGGAGGTCAACAATTCTAGGAAAAAAAGATTAAAAATCATGATTGTTGGATTTTTTTAAACAGTATTACAATACATGGGGAAAGAAAATCAATATGCAATGTTAACATGGAAAAAAATATGCAAGACTCATCTTAAAGAAGTGAAGGTGACTAACTTCCTTATGCAAAGTAAGGAACTCAAGGCAACTTCAGGAATGATCTGAAAATATAATGTTTTAATGTGGCCTGATAAGCTCTACGACCATTAATGCATTAACCATTAGAAGTGTGAAATTGATTTTTAGTCATTTTTCTGAAATATATTTTGTTGAATTTTAATTAAGTCTAAAGAATGAGTTCAATGCATTAGAATTGCTTATTTGAAAAAGCTATCTGGATGACTGAAGGGACTATAAATATTATTCTATTGTAGATTCAGGCACTCTTTTATTTCAAGTTTTCCTATTGTTTTTTCATTATGTTAAATCTTCATCTTCAATTTAATTTTCTTTGAGAAACTGTCCTGGAAAAATACTATGTACACACATTCAAAAGGAAACAAAGTGATCAGTCTATGAAAATCTTGCAGATTTGTCATATACATTCTCTGATGAGATCACCTCACCATGGCCTGTATTAGTTTACTACATATCACTTGAAACTATTTATGAATATTGAACTGAGCACAATTTGGCATTTCATATCCACTTTCATTTTATCGGTCCCCTGCCCCCAAAAAAACAAGTATATAATTGATATATTTCTTCACTTTCTCATATTTGCTCCATTTTATTCTGAATCTGTAACTCTTTAAAATGCAGAGGAAGAAAGGATTCATGTAAATATATTAACAGACCTTTTGAAAACATTACGCTTTTTACTCAGTTATAAGCAATGTTTCTAATACTACTACAGTAAACACTAAATTATCAATTCTTCCCCTTCATGGATCATGAGTTATTTATGAATAAGACGATGCCTTTATATCAACAAAATCAAATGCACATTAGGTGCTGGAGATGGGATTAAAGATGGCCGTGTAAGAACAGAGACAGAGGCTTCCTCCTAAAACTGGATACAATTAGAAAATGTAATTGCCGCAACTAATCCTGAGAGAGAAACAGGAAAGAGGACGGCATCAGACTGCACACACATGGAGAAAAGAGTAGACCTCACCAAAGGGGGTAACATACCAGAGCTGCGACTCCGCGGGACCAAAACCCCTTCCCCACCCCAGCTCACCAGCCTGAGGAAGAAAAACGGAGCAGGAAGGGAGTGGAAGGCTTGGGACTGCTGAATACCTAGCTCCGGAGATCTGCTCTGGGAGCACAAACCTACATTTTATGGTGCTTTCATGAGACTTGCATGACTACCAAGTTGGAAACTTAATACAGGGCAGAGTTCCTGGGGAGACTGGGATTCCAGCTGCTTGTGGAAAGCAGGGATCCATATCCTGCTGCTCTGGGACAAAAACTGTACCTGCGTGACATGGCCCACTGGCTCAGGCAGTGGAGACAGGCACAGCAGCCGGGAGGCGGGGAACAGCTCTTTCCTTCCCCCAGGTACCAGAACCGCTCCCCTGCGACCCACAACATTGCTTCAGGGGCTGAGCAGCTCCAGAATAGAGCTTCTGAACACTAGGGGGTACCATATACAAACATGAAATGCCAAAGGACCCTTGTCCAGAGTAAAATCATTAATACAACTCCCGAGAAAGATTGAAATGACATGGACCTCCTGACTCTTCCTGAAAGGGAGTTCAAAATAAAAATCAATATTCTAATGGAGGTACGGAAAGGCATCCAAGAACTCAGGAATGAATTCAGGTCAGAGATTCAATCGTTGAAGAGCACGATGGAGGGTATTAAAAGCAGGTTGGATATGGTGGAGGAGACAATAAATGAAATAGAAACTAGAGAAGAGGAATACAAAGAAGCTGAGGCACAGAGAGAAAAAAGGATCTCTAAAAATGAAAGAATATTGAGAGAACTGTGTGACCAATCCAAGCGGAACAATATTTGCATTATAGGGATACCAGAAGAAGAGTAGAGAGAGAAAGGGATAGAAAGTGTCTGTGGGGACGTAGTTGCTGAAAACTTCCCCAATCTGGGGAAGGAGATAGTCTCTCAGGCCATGGAGATCCACAGATCTCCCAACACAAGGGACCCAAGGAAGACAACACCAAGACACATAGTAATTAAAATGGGAACGATAAAGGATAAGGACAAACTGTTAAAAGCAGCCAGAGGCAGAAATAAGATCACATACAAAGGAAAGCCCATCAGGCTAATATCAGACTTCTCAGGAGAAACCTTACAGGCCAGAAGGCAGTGGCATGATGTATTTAATGATATGAAGCAGAAGGGCCTAGAATCAAGATTACTTTATCTGGCAAGATTATCATTTAAATTTGATGGAGGGATTAAACAATTTCCAGTTAAGCAAAAGTTGAGAGAGTTTACCTCTCACAAACCATCTCTGCGGTCTATTTTGGAGGGACTTCCACAGATGGAAGTGTTCTAGGGTTGGAGAGCTATCACCAGTGGTAGTAAAACTATGGTAAGGACAGTGGAGCAGCTGATTGCGAGGCAAATGCAAAATTAGATTGACTATCCCCAAAGTCAATCAAGGGATAGACAAAAAGTACAGAATCTGATACCTAATATATAAAGAATGAAAGAAGAAGAAAAAGGAGGAGAAATAGAAAAGAACCTTTAGATTGTGTTTGTAACAGCATACTAAGTGAGTTAACTTAGACTCTTAGATATTAAGGAAAATAACCTGGAACCATTGGTAACCATGAATCTAAAGCCTGAAATGGCATTAAGTACATACCTATCAATAATCACCCTAAATGTAAATGGACTGAATGCACCAATCCAAAGACACAGAGTCACTGAATGAATGAAAAACCAAGAACCATCTATATGCTGCTTACAAGAGACTCACCTCAAACCCAAAGACATGTACAGACTAAAAGTCAACGGATGAAAAAAGATATTTCAAGCAAAAAATAGGGAGAAAAAAGCAGGTGTTGCAGTACTAGTATCAGACAAAATAGACTTCAAAACAAAGAAAGTAACAAGAGATAAAGAAGGACACTACATAACGATAAAGGGCTCAGTCCAACAAGAGGATATAACCATTATAAATATATATGCACCCAACACAGGAGCACCAGCATATGTGAAACAAATACTAACAGAACTAAAGGGTGAAATAGAATGCAATGCATTCATTTTAGGAGACTTCAACACACCATTCACTCCAAAGGACAGATCCACCAGACAGAAAATAAGCAAGGACACAGAGGCACTGCACAACACACTAGAACAGATTGATCTAATAGACATCTATAGAACTCTATACTCAAAAGCAACAGGATACACATTCTTCTCAAGTGCACATGGAACATTCTCCAGGGTAGACCACATACTAGGCCACAAAAAGAGCCTCAGTAAATTCAAAAAGATTGAAAATCTACCAACCAACTTTTCAGACCACAAAGGTATAAAACTAGAAATAAATTCTACAAAGAAAGGAAAAAGGCTCACAAACACATGGAGGCTTAACAGCATGCTTCTAAATAGTCAATGGATCAACGAAAAAATTAAAATGGAGATCCAGCAATATATGGAAATAAATGACAACAACATCACAAAGCCCCAACTTCTGTGGGCCGCAGCGAAAGCAGTCTTAAGAGGAAAGTATATAGCAATCCAGGCATATTTAAAGAAGGAAGAACAAACCCAAGTGAATAGTCTAACGTCACCATTATCAAAATTGGAAAAAGAAGAACAAATGAGGCCTAAAGTCAGCAGAAGGAAGGACATAATAAAAATCAGAGAAGAAATAAATAAAATTGAGAAGAATAAAACAACAGAAAAAATCAATGAAACCAAGAGCTGGTTCTTTGAGAAAATAAACAAAATAGATAAGACTCTAGCCAGATTTATTAAGAGAAAAAGAGAATCAACACACATCAACAGAATCAAAAACAAGAAAGGAAACATCACAACGGACCCAAAAGAAATACAAAGAATTATTAGAGACTACTATGAAAACCTATATGCTAATAAGCTGGAAAACCTAAAAGAAATGGGCCACTTCCTAGAAAAATACAACCTTCTAAGACTGACCAAGGAAGAAACACAAAATCTAAACAAACCAAATACCAGCAAAGAAATTGAAGCGGTAATCAAAAAACTACCCAACAAAAAAAACCCCGGGCCAAATGGAATTTACCTCGGAATTTTATCAGACATACAGAGAAGATATAATACCCATTCTCCTTAAAGTTTTCCAAAAAATAGAAGAGGAGGGAATACTCCCAAACTCATTCTATGAAGCCAACATCACCCTAATACCAAAACCAGGCAAAGACCCCACCAAAAAAGAAAATTACAGACCAATATCCCTGATGAACATAGATGCAATAATACTCAGTAAAATATTAGCAAACCGAATTCAAAAATATATCAAAAGGATCATACACTACGACCAAGTGGGATTCTTCCCAGGGATGCAAGGATGGTACAACCTTCGAAAAACCATCAACATCATCCACCACATAAACAAAAAGAAAGACAAAGACCACATGATCATCTCCATAGATGCTGAAAAAGCACTCGACGAAATTCAACATCTATTCATAATAAACA